CAAATTTCACATCATCAGTATTATAACTGGATTTACAGAACTTAAATACCGTAGCAAAGCACGGGTATCAGGTTTAAGAATATTTTGAAGAAGACAAGTTAATGTTGACTGCACCAGATTTTTGTTTTATTTTAAAGTCATTACATTGTCAGCAGACTACATTCTGTTTAGGCTTGTCAGCATTTTTATAGTCCAATCCTATGCAGAATAATTCCAGTCTAAGGTCACTGATTTAGTGAATTTAGACTGGATTGTTACTCATAGTTATGCACAGTATTATACTGTTAGTAACACACATGGTTAGGGTTTCCAAGTAGAACTTATCTTTGCGGCGGGGGAATCCCGGGTGGATCCAGGAAGTGACATTATGATGCCAGGCACGCTAGGGGCGGGGGCACGACCATACAAGGGAAAACCATAGAGCTTTCCCTTGTATGGCCATGGCCCCACCCCCAGCATGCCCGGCGTGCCCGTGTCACTTCCTGGTGACGCGCACGTCGGGGAGGAGTTCCCCCCGGGGCCCGATCCAGCGCCGCCGGAGAACGGGCCTCTGGGGCGGGGGTTTCCCACCCCCCAGGGGGACTTGGGATCCCTACACATGGTAAAGCTCCGCCAGTGAAGAAGTACTCCACTGTCTCTTCTCTTCCTCTTTCCATGGGATTGCCTCCTTCTCTGCTGGAAGGGGAAATAAGGATTGGGCTCCTGTCAGATGTGTTCACTTACAGAAATCCTCCTGACTAAAAGTAGGAACAAAAGCAAGTAATGTAAGGTCTGTGTTTTTGTGGGGCCTGGTTTTTTGCTGGATGGTATGGCAGCCTACCATCCCTCCCCTTGCTTTTGATTGGGACTTACTGTTGTTAATATGTGCAAAATAGGTTTTTGCTTCTGACCACAACAGGCGAGAAGACCTGGTTTTGTTTTATATTTTAATTTATTTATTTATTGTATTTATAGCCCACCCTCCCCGCAAGCGGGCTCATATATGCTCCTCACTGGCTGAAATAACTGGTGCTGTACCGCCACTGACAGGCAGATGGGTTATTGAGCTAATTTGGGCTCTAACTCTACATGTGCTACAACAAGCCAATCTAGCACAGAAAAGCAAGGAAGCATATTAGGAGCATCCCCGTACCCAAAAAAATTTTGTTAGGGGGTGCCAAGGGAGCAGTTTAGTACAGTGGAGCTGACTACATCACAGGGTTGTTGTTAGGGGAATACAGAGGAGGAGAGACATGGCTAGGTAAGGGCAGATAGATAAAAACAGGGGGGAGTAGGAGCAGCAGCACCTGGGGCAGTTTGGAAATAATAAAGAAAGGTCAGGATTTGTGTCTGGGAGTTGTATTCTCTCTGAAGCACTGTGCACTGCTCCAGAATCAAAGTCTATCCCAAGAAGATCCAAGATGTCTGGCAAGCGTTGCTGAAGTAGCTAGGATAGCCCCTCAAGGTTTTACAGACACAATCTGGTTCCGTTAGCTGGCTAGCTAGCAGCAACAGCAGGACAGCCCCCCCCCCCCGGCAATCCCTTAACCCCTGGGGCCATATGAGTGATTCTCCTTGCGTCCCCTTCCTACACATACCCCCGCCTTTGCAAGTAATCCAAGAAGAGAGCAAAGACAGGAACTTTGTCTTGCACCTCCCAAAGCAGCTCTGTCATTAACAATTGCACTGGCAGCAAGCCAAGTGTGGGCTAAGACATGCTTCTCCTCCCCCAGCAAGCCAGGTGAGCACTTCCTAGAGAGGGGGAAGGGGGGAGGCACAGCTGTTTGGTGAGAGTGCCGAGCACTCATAGGCACCTCCCCCCCCCCCGTGTGTACGGGCCTGCTTAGGAGCCTCTTATAGTGAGTGTGCTTCACTGTGCCAGCCTATCCAGATAGTGGGTAGATGTTCCACAGTGCACATAGAAGTTCCTTAGGAGAATCTTATGTAATGTAGAAAGTGTTCAGACAGGACCTGTAGGTTCCCCTGGACTTGTAGCTTGAAACAGTATAGCTTAGCAAAGACTGCACTGCACGATTCCTGTGATGTTTGTTTCAGCTCTTACCGTGGGGCCATGTTCTCATAGATGAGCTGGGAAAGGAATCCTTTTAGGCAGAAAAAGTACCATGGTTGGGTTTGGACCAGAAGAGGAAATCTGCAGGCAAATACATATGAAGATTGCCCCGCTGGTATTAGGGTACACAGATAACTCTTTGTGTTCAAATAGCCTCAATGCGCTCTATGAATGGTATTTCT